CCCCAAAACCCCAAAACCCCAAAACCCCATAAAGGAATAAAAGTTATGAAACTTTATAATAATTAAAATATGGAAGCCCAAGAAGATATCTGTATCGTGAAAGGTTGTATTTTCAGACCCATTTGTTGTTGGAATGAAGAGGATGAGCAAGAGAGGTTTTGTATTTGGCATTGGAATTGGAGAATTAAGAAATTTATGAGCTTTTATAGAGATAAGGATTTAGTAGGTTTATATGAGATAACGAAGAAGGATATGAGATTTTTAGAAGAGGCAAGTAAAGTGTTTGGGCGAGTGTTTGATCGGAAAGAAAAAAGTGAAAAGGATCAGTTTAGTCTGAGGATTTATAGTTTAATAAACAAGTATCTTAAGAAAAGCTTTGAATCATTACGGAAGAAATTTAAAGACTGCAAGAGATATTTAGAGAAATGAAATCATGAAAGGAAAAAATCTTGAGAGGAGATTTGAGATATTTCCAACGGAGGTCTTAAAAAGAGATTGATGAAAGAAAGATTCTTAAAGGCAAAAGATATCTATTTTAATTCAAATCTTTTATCCAGATATTTAGATCCAGAAACGTTATTTGAACTTCTATCAGTTTCAAATGATAATATTGGACAGCTTTCTTTATGAAATTATTCGATGTCAGCAGAAGAGACAAAAGAAGACACATGTTTTTCATTTTGAGAGGAGATTAGATCTTGAATTTTGAGAGCTATTATTTAATTGAGTGAGTTTACAATAAGAAGGAATCATTAAAATGTTCTGACCTTTCCAAAGCCATAATTTCTATTATAAATGCTGAGAAAGATCGAGGTAGGTCTTATAGTAATAGCAAATCTGAAGTAAAAGAGCCTGATGTTCAGGAAAAAGTATTGACTTCTCGTACTCTGAAAGAAAATAATGATTTATCAGATAGCAATACTTTTAATGAGCATGGTAATATTTGTAAAATTGAAGAGGCTTTAAAAACTTTAAACTCTGATGAGCAGAAAGAGATTCTTGAATCTTATTTTAGATACTTGAGAACCCATCCAAATACGATCTTAAGTATCAACTTCAAAGATATCAAAATTCAACAAGTAAAAGACTATTGGCTTTTTAAAAAGAACACTCTGCATGAACCGATGATTGATGCAAATATTAAAGGTGATATTTGAGAACATTATGAAGGATGAAAGAAAGAATCCTTCTATTACCTTCCTGAAATATGAATTAAAATCTGATTCAAGCATAGATTCCACAAGGCTTACTTCTTCTGTTCTAAATACACCCCACTGTTTAAATTCGATCTCAGGCTGACTTTAAGAATATTAGATTACCTCCAAATGAAAGCAAGCACTAGTTTTCACCAAAGATTTGAGTTGCAATATTTCAGACTTAAAGATACAATTATTGATACAAAAATTTATAGGAATGATCTTCTTCATAAATGCATTCTGTTAGTTCAAAATGAAGTATTGATGAATTGAACAGAATGATATGAACCTGTGAATAAAGTTCTCAATTTTTATGCCATTGAGAAAATTTTATTAAAACTAATTGAAAATCATTTAGATTCAGATATTAGAGATCATGAAAACTATTGGATGCCGACTTTGAATGATTATGAAAGTGATATTAAGTTTATTCAAAATATGCTTAAAATAGAGATCCTAGAATATATCAGGGAGAATAGGTTTCCTAAATATTGGAGGAGAAGACAAGCTGATTCGAAAATCGAAGAAATTATTGAATATTTAAACAAAGATTATGTCCCCAATAATAAAGAACTCGAGTCTAATTTCAAAAAAATTGAATCCAATATAGATACAATATCTTCACAAGAAGGTGAGGATAATTGCTTCTCAACATTTGCATCTAACAAAAAAATGAGACTCAATTGCGAAAGCAAACCTAAAAAAGCATTTACAAGTAAAACTCCTTACTCATATGAGGAATCATTTCAATCATCTCTCAATATCTCTGACTGTGATTCTCAAACAAATGAAAAGTTTCACAAAGATAATAATTCTTTTAATAAATTTTAGCTCGGAAGAATATTTAAACCAACAAGAGGAAAGCGATTCTCAACTTGATAAAAATAATTATGACGACATTGAAGATATATCATTTTACAAAACAGCCGACTTCGAAAAGAGTGAAACTTCAAGTTCAGAATCATCTTTTTCTGAAATAACGAGTATGAGTGGCTTAAAAACCATTAGTGAATGTGAGAATGAGAATGATTCTACTCTTGGATCAAAATCCTAAAATTTATCTGAATTTAGTGGGGAAGAGGAACACAAGACTCAAAACCTCAAATATTACGAGACAAGTAACTCAAAAGTGTGAGAGGAAACTGGTTTGGTTGAAAAATACACTGAAGAGGAACTTAAAGACCTTATTTATGAAGCTGAACAAGCAGTTTACACAAAATAGAAAAAGTTATTTGTGCCAATTCAAATATAAATCTCTCTCTGAATATTTTATAAAGCAAAAGTTATATAAATTGAAATTATGAGTTTCAGATGATTTGCTGATTTCTGAATATGATCTTTCTAATTTTGGTGATTTCTGAGAATTTGCTTCAGATCTAAGATGGAAAGATCAAATCTCAATATCCTCTCAGAATAAAATCACCGTTATATTAGACACTAAAAAGAATATAAATATTCTTTCATTTATTAAAACAAGACCATGTGAAGTGGAAAATGTTGATTTGAAGATTCATGAGCAAAACCATGTAATCGTCAACAACTTTCTAGCCAATTATTTTCCTGAAAAATGCCAAAATTTTAAATTATCCTATATATACGGTCCAAAAAGTTTAATTAACTTCTACTTTGATTCACTAATCGGCCTGAGCAGCAGGATCACTCAAAAAATTTATATTCTCCGCTGGAAATTAAGCCAACAGCAAATGGAGGCTATTTTAAAAGCATTCAAACATGTTGAAGTTTTAAAGATTTGGTACTGAATCATTGGATTTGAATCTGTACCTGAATTCGGAACTTCCCTTGAAGGATCGAAAATAAAGGAGTTAGCACTGAGAGGGAATGATTATGGAGATAATGGCTATGGAATAGAACATCTAATTCAAGGATTATCTCAGTCTAGCGACTTTATGCAGAATGTAGACAAGATTAACCTTTATAAATCTGGAATTAATGAAGAAGATGCAGAACAAACATTGAAGGAATATGCTGATATTGGAAAATTGAACTTTAGGCCGCCTGAGAAAAAAGTCAAAAGATTTAAGTTGAGTTATTAATTTCAATATCAGGATAGATGTTTGGGGTTTTGGGGTTTTGGGGTTTTGGGG